ATACCCAGCATGGGCATTGAACTCACCATCCTGAGATCAAGACCTGAGCTGTGATCAAGAGTTGGACACTTAACTGACTGAACCACCCAGGTGCCCCTAGCCTAGAAATAACTTTTAAACAAACTGCATACCCTTGACTCTTAACAAAGATTGTAATTTTCCCAGTACACGTCAAACATGTCATAAATGCTACCCTATTGTTTCAGTCTAATCTCCATTTACCAAATGTGAAATTAGAATATCAGCAATACGTGATATATAGTTCTTTTCTGTTCTCCTTCCACCAAAGAAGTGCTAATGGGAAACAAAATATATTCGCCAATAGAGAAAAAAAAAAAGCTAAAAAGCATATAAACAACCACAAGTCAAATCACCAACATTTATCCATACTATCTGCCTGTTAACTGAGGGCTGTCCAAAGTGTGGTTCCCACACCACTGACATGAATAGTGATTTTAGCTGTATGTGAAATAATATTTTAATAGTTATGAATGTGCTTTTAATAGTTTATTATATCTGATACACCAAACCTATGATTTCACAAATATCAGTGCCTACAGTGCCTTTCACTTCCACTTAAGAGAAATCATGAATCCATCTGAAAAATAAGAGCGCACATTTGTTAGTGAAGTTTGAGAAGCACTAGCGCATTACCCAAATTAGATCAAGGGCACACTGGGAATGATCACCAAACAGCATCAACCATACAGAAAATCAGACCAAACTTCATGTGCACAGAGAAACTCACTGAAAAGCTGGTACAACTAAATGACAGTGCTCTCCTCTTTCCCAAGAGGAGGAAATTAAGTGAACCTGAAATTTAATCAAAGTAACTAAGGGTAAGACTCAGAGTTTGGTACAATCCTTGAACTTCTGGCAAATTAAGCTTAAAAATGGTAGACACTGGGGAGAGTATGTGCTATGGTGAGTGCCGCGAATTGTTTAAGACTGCTGAATCACAGTCCTGTACCTCTGAAACAAATAATACATTATATGCTAAAAAAAAAAAAAAAAAAAAAGGAAGGGAAAAATGAAGGGACGGAATCGGAGGGGGAGACGAACCATGAGAGACTATGGACTCTGAAAAACAAACTGAGGGTTCTAGAGGGGAAGGGGGTGGGGGGATGGTTTAGTCTGGTAATGGGTATTAAGGAGGGCACGTTCTGCATGGAGCACTGGGTGTTATACGCAAACAATTAATCATTGAACACTACATCAAAAACTAATGATGTAATGTATGGTGATTAACAATAAAATTAAAAAAAAAAGGTATTCCTTTCCCAGCCCGAACACCTCAGCACAGACCTTTCATTTGCTGTGAACAGTCATCTCTAATCCCTTTTACCTCAGATACCTCACTCAGCAGGCTCTGGATCACTCTCCCATCCATCATCCAATCTACCACCCTAAGGTTTCCCAGGCAGTTCTTGGACCTAAAGAAAGCCTTTAAGTCAGTCTCCAGAAGAGGAATGAATCAGGCTTCAACAGAACTTCTTTTTAGTATTCTCTGTGATTCTTTACTGCCCCTTTGCTCTTCTGTTACTGTTATGCTGCCCCTCAACCACCAAAACTCCATGGCCGGCTGGGACCTAGTCAAAGCCCGCACATATCAATCGGGGCCTTCGGTCAGAGCCTTCTACACTGAAAGTACTCCTCTGCCTTAGGCCTCACGCCCATTAAAAAAATAAATTAACTTTAAAAAAAGATTTTCCTTTTCCCAGGCTGGAATTGGTTAGAGGTGGATTAAATGGCAGAGTACCAACTAATCCACCAGGTGTAAGTGACCATCCACATCACCTTTATTCTTCCAAAGGTATGTGAATTAAGAAAAATGCATTTTAAATGAAATAACTAGGTAAAGTTTATATGAAAGAATTTCAGGCTATATAGAGGCAATTTAGAGCCAATGAAAGAAATGTTAGGGCTCACTACAGGACTACTTCCAAGCCAGTTACCAGGCTAGCCCCCTTTGGGCAGTTTCACAATCTGGAATAAAAGTGGTGAGAGTGGATATGGGTTGTCAATGGGCTTACTAATCTTCATTTACGTATGATGTTTCCACCACAAACTATTCTAACTGTCCTCATTTAGTATAATTGTTCGCTCACTTTAGAATAAAGATATTTAAACATAAGAAAATGTGAATCATCCTCAAAAACTGAACTGATCCCCTGACCCTAGCTAAAAAGACACTTCTGAATCAGGCAGTTACTCACCATCAGTATGATGCCATGTTGGGGGATCTATACGGTTCTCAAGATTCTACTTTATTCATATCACATTCTTACAAGAATATTACCACAAATAGCCCCAGAGAATGAGATCCAAAGCCCTGACAGATGGTCCCAGTTGGAGCCCCTCTCTCAAGTCACAGGAGCCCACAAGATCAATTGCCCAAACAAGTACATTCAAACTTGAAAATGGAGTTCCAAACTCAGATTTCAGTAGACCTAACTTTAGGAAGGGTATATTTAAGATACAAATATAATACCCACCACATCACTGGCAAAGAACATTAGAAATTATCTGCTTTGAAAATTACCATAACTAAGATACCAAAGCATGATGTTTGCTTCCACACATAAAAACACCATTAGAAAAAAGAGTTTACTTTGGAAACTAGACCTGGCACTTGCAGTATTTATTTTTCTTTCATGTTTCATAACTGCCTTTAGTCACTTAATCCTATTATTAAAGAATTAAAGAAAATCAAAGAAATACCAATATCAAACTGCAATTTGATAGACAAGAAGGTAAAAAATAGGAGGCTGAGAAAGGAACACATGCAATTCACCAAGTCAGACCATTTGAATAGCATGGCATTATCTGTGGCTAATACCCTCACACCATATATTCCTTGCAAAGTTCCCTAGTACCAAGCAAAAAGAATTTGTCTAAAGCAAACTAGTGCTTCAGCAATTTCTGGCAATTATTTTATCCATCTGAGATGGGCCCCAAATTCCCTAAAACAAGGCTTGCAATCACACTTCCCCCATCAACTAATACCCCCCTCTCTCTTATAGGAAGGTATTTTACTTTCCATCTTCTCTCTCAAATTCTGCCTACCCAACCCCTCAATCTCTGACCTGGTCCCTAAAAAGGAAATGCTCCTTCCATCTCTCCAAGTCTAGACCCTTCACTCATTCTTTCCCTTTCAGCCTCGAACAAGACATAGATTTCCTGGAACGGATGGGCAGGTGGGCAGGCAGACAGAGACAGAGGGACACAGACACACACACCTCCCACCCTTGTACTTAAACAGCCTTGGGCCTCCTTACACTTCAGTTTGCATATTTTTCTTAATCCCCACTAATCTAGTTTATTTTAACTCTATGAAGCTGCAAGCAGACGGTCACTGACTCCCAATAGCCAAATACCAGCTGACCAACTTCTCTTTTTCTAAGCTCCTGCCTTTTCTGTTTCTGCTGGCTCCTCCATGGGCCTCCACTCTCCAAGAGGAATTCAAGGTGTGGTTAGACCCTACAGTCTTTCTTTCCTGCAGCCTACATCATCTCCTTCACTTTCCTCAGTACAAATGATACTAGGAAACCATCTGAGACCTTACTTTTCCCAATTCTAACTGCATCTTTAGCCAACAGTGCACGTAAGCCCTTGGCTCTGTCTTCATCAGCCCTTCAGCTTTATCCAGCATGTCAAAAAACCAAATTCACCAGAGCCTTCCCAGGATTCCCACCCAACTCCACCTCCACTTCCCCTTCACAAGCAGCCACCTGGGTCTGTTTATTTTTCCATATTAATATTCTAACTCTTTTTCCCATTATGGTTGCAGGCTTGCTTCTTCCCCGGAGTTCAAAAGTGACTGCCATGTTCAGAGTAAGATGTTTTAAGACTCCCTTATCACGGGCTAGCACTTACTCCCCACTGAAAGGAGTCTGGAAAAGAAAGGTGGAGGAGGGGAGAAGCTCAGATGGCGCCACTACATTCACCTCACCTGCCCAAAGTATCCGTATTTCACCTCAGCTACCAAACTTTCCTTTCCATAAACTGCTGTTCAGCCTAAGGATTGAGAAGACTCCCTCAAACTCTTGAATGAATCCATTAAATAAAGTCCTTTCTTTCTTGACCGAAAGGAATCACCACTATGAATACATTAGTCTAAGGATACCAGACCTTAACCTGTTATTAAAAAAACAAAACCAAGACCCCTCCCAACCAGCTTCCACAAGTTAACTTCAGCAAAGTATCTGCCCCCAGGTCCTAGGGCAAAAATGAAATAATCTAGGTAAAACACCTACTATAGAAAATCTGTCTTCTGAAAGGAAAACAAGTAAAAACTTGGCCAGGTAAGGCAAGTAACTAACTACTTGTGCCACAATTTGCGTCAGGAAAGTTGCCTGTTCTTCCTCAGGCTGCAGTAGGAGAGCTGAACAATTTGAGCTCGTTTCCTAGGAATCGTCTGTGCTGCTGCGGCGTTGAAGAAGAGCTGCTTCCACACAGCAGTCAAATCGTGAAGTTGCAGCAGCGGCTGTTCTGCTAACCCACGGCTAAGAATAACACTCGACTTTCTAATTTAAAAAAAAGAAGAAAAAGAAGAAAAAAGAAAGACAGACTTGGAAAGTAAGTCCCCGGAACAAGGATCTGGGGCAGGAGAGGAAGAAGGGGCTTCCTGCACTGACCCTCTTATCACCTAGACCCTCGGTCCAACGCAATCAGCGCACTTTCAGCCCGCAGAGACCAGAAAGCACGGGGTCCGGCGGGGGCGAGGGGCGCCCACTCCGGGACGGCGGCAGTTTGCAGGTGCCATGGACCGGCCCCCACACGTTTAACCCGGCTGGAACCCGTGGTTCCGGGCTGGGTTTCCGGGTGGATCGCGCTCACTCTTAATTGACAACGAAGTCGGGGCAGGTTCGAGGCAAATCGCGAGGAATAAAAGTCACAGGGGGCTGGGGTGGGTGGGGGAGGCGCGGGGACACCCCTCCTGGCCCGCCGTGGCCCAACGGGCCGGGCCCTGCCCCACGCGCCCACCCGGGCCGCCCTACCGTGGCTCTGCAGGATCTCGTGCTTGAGGCCGCCCGTATAGTCGATGAGCTCCTCCAGGCCGCGCTCGCACAGCTGCCCGTAGCCCGAGAACTTGTGCAGCACCTTCTCCAGCTCGCGCTCCACCGTCACGCACTGATCCATCCCGGAGGCGGCGGCGGCGGCGCTCGACTCCCTGGCGCCCGGGTGTCCGCAGCCGTTCGGCCCGGGCCCGGCCGAGGCCGCGTCCTGCTCCTCGTCCCCCAGGCGGGCGGCGCGGGCGGCTGAGGCGGCCGAGACAGCGGGCGCGCTAGCCGCGGCGCCGGGGGAGCCCCGCGCAGCCCGTGCCTGCCTGCCCCATGGCCCCCCGGCCCCCGGATACTCGCCGCCGCTCCCGCTCGCTCTCCCCACCCGGTCCCGCGCCCCTGGTCCTCACTCGCCGCGTTCGGCTGCCCGCGGCGGCGCCGCCGATTGTTTTTGTTTTCACGGGAACCGACCGATGACCTGGTTCTCCCGGGCGGCACCAAGCGCCGCCGAGCCGAGGGGGGGGCAGCCACCCCAGCCAGGAAAAGAGGCGGCGCGGGCCGTACCAAGCGCACCCTCGAGGGGGAGCAGCCTGGCGAACGCGGGCGGAGGAACGCGACAAGCGTCCGCTCGCGCCGCCGCTCTAAAGGTGTGGGCAGTACCACGCGGGAAGCGTGCAAGACAGAGGGCGAGGGTGGAGCAAGAACCTAATTGGTCCGAGGAGCTGAATAGGGAACTTCGGAGACAGCCCCGGCGCTCGAAGAGCGCTACAACTACGCTCCCCGTAAACAAGAGGGTGGAAACCGTCCCTAACCACTCCGCCCAGAAACGGGGAAAAAGAACCAATGGGCGCGGGGAATACGTAAGGAACAAACGTTCTCCAATCCCTGACCGAGGCGTAAACCTTCAGCCAATCGGAGTCTAGGGGCCAAACCAATAGTCTCGCTGTTGGAGGGGGTGACTTAGAGTGCATAGTGGGAAGCAAGTTATTTCTGGAAAGCCATGAGGGAAAACAACGCAGAGACTAAAAGGTCTGTTTTCTATAGGAGTTCGCCCTGGTCATAATTTATGTCATCTTCCCATTACTCCTAGGGCTACTGTCGTTCCGAAGTTTTGGAAGACGACTTGCCGCCCCGGACGAAAAACCAAGCCCGGCGGGGCGGGGCGGGTAGTGCGGCGGGCGGAGGTCTCTGACGAGAATTCCTGGCGGGGGCGATGCTGGAGGGCGAGGGAGGAGGGCTGCTCGGTAGCCGCGCGGAGCCGGCGCGGGGAAGAGCCCCGCGTGGCCGTCGGTGCTGCTGGGACGTTGGTGCCGCGAGGAGGTCACACTCCCCACCCTCCGCGGGGCTCAGCTCCTTGGCTCCGGGGCTTGGAACCACTCCCGACAGGTAGCTCCTCTCTGCGCCGTGTGCGGGTAGCTTCACGCAATGGAAAGCCGCGTGGGAGAGCGACACAACCTACACCCTGCTTTCGGACGCCTTATTCCATTGATACGAATTGAGTTACCTCCTTTGCGTAAATTCTTCTCGGACTGCCGTGGTGCCTCCAACCTTGGCCCGTATCCCCTCGTTCACTAAGCTTCAGTTGCGCTGTTAGCTTTCCTCCAAAAGCCACATTAGTAATTGCCTCACGGCCTCTGCACTTAGCTTTTTTTCGTTGGCCTGGAAAACCCGTCCACCTTTCTCATCCTAAAGTTCTCAGCTCACTTGCCCCCTCAGAGGGCCCTCCCCTGACCACACTAATAGAGTTTCCACCTTCCCGCACTCCTCCAGTGTTGTGTCATATTTATTATAATATCAACCGTATCACCAGTTTTCATATTTTCACACCATTTTTTAAAAGCTGAAGTGATCTGGTTCATTTATTCGTTACTTTTAAGCCTGCACCTCTTCAGTAAATCTCCATAAAGGCAAGCCTTTGTCTAATTCTCTGCCCAAGAACGGTGCCTGGCAACATAGTAGGCAATTTTTTTTAATTAAGGCGAAATCTTTTTGGGTCTCAATTTCCCTTTTTGTAATTTGGAAATAATTGCAATTAATATTTCATTGGCTTCTTGGGAAATTAAGTGAGATAATATATGTAAACACTCATAGTATGATAAATCTGGTTGTTAGTATTGTCTGTTCCCGTAAGTAAATCTGAGATGGCAGCCTAAAATGGAATCACGTTGGTCTAGTCCCCAATCCTTTCATTCAGGTGATTCTCAAGGGCTGCCCTCGCTGTTGCTGTTATAAATCTCCTTTCTCCTTTCTCCTCCCCACCTAACCCATTTTCCTTTCTCCTCTTTCTTGGCAGATGGCCCTGATTGCTTTTTCACTGAGAAAAAAAAAAAAAAAAAATCCAGCTCCAGCATCCTCTGCCACTCAAAGTATTTCTGTCCGTACCATCCATTTTGTGTACCTAAAGGAACAAGAGTCTTTTCTCCCTTCTAAGTTGCCAACCCTTGGCTTGCTGGCTTCATCTCACCTCCCTCCAGACGTCTTCCCCTCCTTTGTACTAGGTCCTTCATTTCTGCTTTCAGACTGAATGGGACTGACCTACCTGGGGAATTGGGGGAGAGATGATCTTTATTTATCCTTCTCAAGCTGTTTCCCTTTTCCTTTCAGTCCCTTCATGGCCAAACTGCCCAGACAAATTCTTGACACTTTTTCCTCCCTGATCTCCTTGATAAGCTCATTCTTTTCTCAGTCTTTTTTTTTTCCTTGACCTCACTGCCACACAAGAAAATTCTGACTCACTTTCACCTATAAAATTCTCCCTTGACATTGTCCTAGTATGGTTCAGTCACCCCTTCTCCCTTGCTGGCTCTTCTTTCTCATTTAGCCCTCTATGTGAGTGGGCATTTGCCCCAGGTTTTATCCTCAATACCTGCTGTCCTGAGATAGCACTTTACAATCCGCCCCTCTCCAGCCTTGATCTGCCTCATAAGCTCTACATTCTCTCCAACCAGTGAGACATTATCATCCAGAGACTGACTACCTCTAGTCAACATGTCAAAAAAAGTTCACATTTCCTTTCAAAATTGACTTTCCTCCCTTTGACTTCTCTATTTTTGTCATCATTACCTTAACTCCCAGCTACAGCTGCCACTTCTCCATCCTTATCTTTTTTAAGATTTTGTTTTTGAGTAATCTCTATACCCAACATGGGGCTCGAACTCACAACCCTAAGATCAAGAGTCACATGCTCCACCAACTAAAGCCAGATGCCCCTCCATCCTCATCTTTAACTTATCTATAGGACTCTCAAAACCCTTTATCAAATTCCTCAACTCTACTAACTTGTTTCCATTGCCACCCATCTATATCCTTCCCAAGATCCCTTTGCTAATTCAATTGCCTTCATTCACCCCAGAATCATTGGTGTTCCCCTGGATTTTGTCCTCATCAGTATCCCTAGGGATGCAGATTGTCTTGTCCCTTTTTCATTCATCCTCCACATGAAGTCAGACATCAAGTTAACTCCTGAGTATGACTTCCTAATGTCCTAATGAGACTTTTTAACTTCTACATCCTCATCATCAGTACCTTGAGATATTTCCAAGATTATAATTGTTTCTCTTACTCCTACAGTGCCACCAAATGAATCTTCATTCCCTTCAAAAGGTTGTTATAGTTAAATGAGATAATCTCTGTAAAGCACTCAACATAATGCCTGACACATGTAAGAGCTATTATTATCTACTGATCAGAAATATCATACAAATATCAAATCATGTTGTACACCTGAAACTAATATGTATCAATTATACCTCAATTAAGAAAAAAAACTAATTACTCCCCATTACTGACAGCTTCAAATCATAATTCTCAGCTGCATGGTCTGCCCAGTGTAGCAACCCATCATAATCCCCCATCCAAACACTGGACACGTTCACATTTTCAGGGTGAAGTGAGCACAGTTCATCGATGCTTTTTCCTCTCCTGGAATGCCTTTCTTTGTCCAAAGCCATTCAAATCCTCCCCTTTCTTCAAGTAACAAGACAAGTCCTACTTTTTTGATACCTTCTAGATCTTGGCCTGCATTCTCCAATATGGTAAGTCACCAACTCTACATAGCTTTTTAAATTAAATAAAATTAAAAATTGAAATCTTCAGTTGTACAGACCACATTTCAAGTACTCATTAACCACATGTGGCTAGTGGCTACTATCCTAATCCATCACTGTAGAAAGTTATATTGAATAGTGCTGATCTAGACCATGACCACAGTACAGTTACCAGCCTTTCCTTGACCTGCTATACGGCTTCTCTGGGTTAAGTCATTTAATTTCTAAGTGCATAGTGCTCTTCTCTTCTTGGTTAACTTTTCCAATTTGCTTACTCAATTAGATTGTTAGCTCCTAGGTTGGGGCTGACTGTTCTTTTTCTCTCACGTGATTTAATCAGAATAGAAAAAGTGCTGTAGGTATTTGTTAAAGGAAAGAGCATAATAAGAGAAGAGACTTCAGGGCACCTGGCTGGCTCAGCCATTAGGACGTGGGACTCGATCTCAGGTTTGTGAGTTTGAGCCTCATGTTGAGTTTAGAGATTACTTAAAATCTTATAAAAAAGAGAGAGAAGAGGTTTTGAATTTAACTGAGGAAAGAAAAATAGTACTTGTAAGGGCAGAGATCTTTATGTTCCCTCTTTAGTTTGTATTGGCCCTTCCTATCCAGTGCATAATTGCTTTAACCCCATACCTTGGTTTCTTAAGAGGAGGGTCTCTAGAAGCAAGAGGGAAAAAAATCAGTTTTCAGAACAACTGCAAATTATTTTTCTGTGGTTGCATTTTCACCATACAACAAAAAATTCACGCATGAACACAAACACAAACAAAACCCTACTCCAGTATCAAATGGACCCCTGCCCCCATATTCTATTCAGTCTGGAGAACCTCTCAATTTGCAATCATTCTGGACTTTGCTCTGGTCCTTCCCTTAACTTTAAATTTGACTCTCTGTAACATTTAACTAATACTAATCCAAAGGAAAGAGGAAACCCTTTGTCTTCTGACTAAATTACATATTCATCATAAGGAAATTAGAAAAAAACAGTACATAAATAATAATTTCATGAAATCCCAGAAGCAGAAAAAAAATGAGTTTTAACATTTGGGGTGAATTTCCAGAGTTTTTCCTGTGTATACACATATACCCATATGTGCATTTTCATAAAAGATAGCTCTTTTTATATACATTTTGTAAACTGCCTTTGTTGTCCACTTAACAACTTTTCTCTAACAACAACAAAAAAGTCTTTAGAACTGCTTTTTTTTTTTTTTTTAAGTAATCTCTACACCCAAGTGTGGGGCTCGAACTCCAACCCCAAGATCAAGAGTCACATGCTCTTCTTTTTTTTTTTTAAAGATTTTATTTATTTATTTATTTGAGAGAGAGAGAGAGAAACAGCATGAGAGGGGAGAGGGTCAGAGGGAGAAGCAGGCCACTGAGCCGGGAGCCCGATGTGGGACTC